GGTCACTATTTTTGTTTTCTTTTGGAGTGATTGTCCGTGAAGCAAAAATCACGTGCTTACATCACTCGCCACTCACATTGAAGTTTCAGAGAAGAAACAATAACATAAAAATACTTTTCAGATTTCTAAATGTTTGAGCTGAACATGAAGAATTCCAGAGAATTGTTAATGAAGGATGACATGGTACTCAACAGTCTTGCAAGTCAGATACTATCTAGTACAGGATGAAATCTATGAAGCCTGAATTTAAGAACTTAAACACCAGAGACCTCAAGAATATAACAGAGAAAATAGATCAAGCAAGAAAGGACTTGATTGAATGTCAACAAGAAATGAATAGAGGCTACTCAGATCAGCTAAGAATGATGGATAAAGAGGCAAGATTTCGATTAGAGAAATGGCCACTCATTGAAAAGAAGATATTACAACAAAAATCAAGAAATCATTGGATTAATATCGGAGATGGAAACAATAAATATTTCTTTGCAATGATGAAAGACAGAGCAAGCAGGAAAAACATTACAGCACTAACAACACTAAATGGTGCAGACCTGACAGATCCTAAGAGTATTAAGAGAGAGGTAGTTAACTTCTATTAGTCCCTTATGGGAACTATAGCTGCAACTCTACCTGTTGTCAACATGCAAATTCTGAAAAATGGCCATCAACTGAATCACCAATAAGTAGTGGAACTGGTTAAAGATATATCTAAGCAAGAAGTAGATAAATATTTGCATGCTATTGGTAATGACAAAGCCCCAGACATCGACTGGTATAATGTTGTCTTCTTCAAGAAAGTATGGGGTTATATTAAGGAGGATGTATATCAAGCAATATCTGAGTTCTTTGCTACAGGTGTGATGCCTAAGGCCATTAACTGTACTACAGTTGCTCTATTGCCTAAGATCACCAATCCTACTAACATAAAGGACTACAGAACTATATCCTGCTATTTTATATTGTATAAGATCATCTCCAAAATTTTAGCATCAAGACTGCAGAAAGTAATGGGGTTCTTGATTGATGGAGCTTAGGCTGGTTTCATCCTAGGAAGAAAAGGAGCTGACAATATCATCCTAGTACATGAGCTGATTAAGTCCTACTCAAGGAAACATATATCACCTAGATGTATTATTAAGGTATATCTGCAAAAGGCTTACGACAGTGTAAAATGGAGCTTTGTGATACAAAACATGGAGGGGTTGGGTTTCTCTCATAAATTCAGCCAATGGATATCATCCTGTATTCATAGTATGAGCTATTATATATTGATAAATGGAGAGCTAGCAGAGCCTTTTCCTGCTGCTAAAGGCCTCAGGCAGGGTGACCTTGTGTCCCCATTCTTGTTTGCTTTATTTATGGAATATCTAAGTAGGCTTCTTACATGCCTGAAGAATAATAAGCACTTCTACTTTCATCCAAAGTGCAAGAAATTAGGAATTACTCATTTTTTTAATTAAAACAGAATTTTCAATTCATCAAAAATTATCTTTACAAAACCAGGCTAATGATGACCATCAACCTCCTAATTACAATTACAAATTAGACTATACTAATTACACTTCAAATCAGAATTTGAGCCATTCTTCTTTAGTCTACGGATAATGATTCAATCTTTGCAATGTTGGTTGTCATTTGCTCTTTGATCTCCCCTGTATGTGCATGTGTATTGTAATTTCCCTATAGATCACATCCGCCTCATATCTCTCGTTGCTGAATCTGATGGAGTTCCTTTCACGCCAAATGCAGTATAATACCATGGCAAAAGCTGAAGTAGTAATAGCTGACATTCCAGCTTTTCTCTTAGCTAGAGTGCTTACCCATTAAATCTCATTATGCCAGCTTCCTATTCTCCTATTATGCCCCAGCCATTTGAGTATTCTATTCCATACTGTGCTAGTACATGAGCACTCAAAGAATAGATGGCTAAATATTTCAATGTACCTAGAACAAAAGGCACAATCCAATGGAACTTGGATTCCAAACTTCTGCAATCTATCCATAGTGGCTAACCTCTGATGAACTGCCAGCCATAAATGGAACTTGAATCTTGGATGGATTTGTGGATGCAGGTGTATACTCTTCCAGCCTACCTTTGGGAGTTGGGGTAGCAGTTGAGTTTATGCTTTTTGTATTTGAAGTCTGCCCTGGATCTCCATAAATGTTAGCTTTGCACTAAGGCTGGTTTGCATTGTGTTCATTTGCATCAACCCTTGTTTTGCATCTATAATCTTCCGGACCACCCAAGGAGTTGTCTTAGGTGTATCCGTAGTGACAATATCTCTTTGCTTTATGTAGTAGCAGTGAGCCCATTTGATCCATATTGTATCTTTTTTCTTTGTCAATGCCCATAGTTGCTTCAAGATTGTTGTTTTGTTCCATAATCCCATGTTGATAGTGTTTAAACCCTTAGAAGCTTTTAGTTGGCATACCTTATCCCAAGCTCTCAGTGCTTTCCTAGATGTAGCACTTGTACCAGTCCATAAGAATGTTCTACAGATAGTCTCAATCAATTTCATAATTTTCTTGGGCAGTATGAAGATTTGAGCCCAATAAGTTTGCATACCAAAGATCACAGACTTTATGAGTTGTACTCCCCCTGAATATGATAGCATCTTTGCTGGCCAACAACTAACTCTTTCAGTGATCTTTTCCACCAATGGTAGACATTGTTGAATGTTCAATTTCTTGGCAGACAAGGGAACTCTTAAGTACTGGAAATGTATTGATCCCTCTATATACCCTGTTAGTCCTTTCAATGAGTCGTTAATGTCCTGAGGAACTCTAGTAATGTATATTGAGCTTCTGTTTGCATTTGCCTGAAGGCCAGATGCAGCAGAAAAGCTTTGAAAGGTTTTCTGTAATTTAGTCACTGAATTTATGTCTGTCATGCAAAACATAAGTAAGTCGCCAGGAAAACAAATGTGAGTCACTCCCACCATTTTGCATCTTAGGTGATATTTGAGTTTCTTTATCACTGATAGCTGGTTCATCTCTGTCACGACCCCTGTTCGCCCTCCGTGAACCATTGTGACGGCACCTAGTCCTCTATGACTAGGTAAGTCTAAATTGTAGAAGATAACCAAAGTGTGGAATAAAAACAAATTAAAACATAATGAAGAGTGATAAAACAATGTTTAAAAGTATCGCTCGACATACACAATATTTAACTCTCAGAAACCAATACATATCTCCAAGACCCGAAAACCAACGAATCACAAGCTAAGATCAATACTACATAGCTCTAACTCCGGAATGTCTAATAAGAACCGAAAAAAATACTGAAGGGCTAAATACTAAAAGCAGGAATAGAAAGGGACTTCTCGGTCTGCGGATGCGGCACATGTACCTCGAAGTCTCTAAAGCAGTTTCCTCCTCAAGGATGATAGGCTTGAGTAGCGGTACCTGGATCTGCATATAAAGAACATGCGCAGAAGAGGCATGAGTACACCACAGCGGTACTCAGTAAGTGCCAAGCCCAACCTCGGTTGGGTAGTAACGAGGAAGGTCAGAGCCCTACTGAGATTAAATAAATATAAAAATGACAAGATACGATAAGCAGTATAATTAAGAATCTAGAGTAAGAATCTACACAGGATAATAAGAGTACAATAACGGAAACAGAGATGAAGGCAAACCACAAGGAAGTACCACTCATAACAAGGATGATAACCAGGGATCTCTTGGTATCCTCAATACATGCTAGGGATCTCTTGGTATCCCGAGGATCTCTTGGTATCTTCAATATATGCTAGGGATCTCTCGGTATCTCGAGGATCTCTTGGTATCCTCAATATATGCTAGGGATCTCTTGATATCCCGAGGATCTCTTAGTATCCTCAATATATATTAGGGATCTCTT